ATCCATCCATCCATCCGTCCACCCATCCACCCGTCCACCCATCCATCCGTCCACCCACCCATCCATCCACCCATCCACCCACCATCCACCCATCCATCCATCCATCCATCCACCCACCCATCCATCCACCCACCCCATCCATCCATCCGTTCACTGTAGCATTTTTCCTATATGTATGGGATTCTGTCATTGCAAATCCACAGGTGACCATGAGGTGTCGCGCTCAGGCCAAAGAATGGACTCTCTGGACCTCCCCCCCCCATTCACATCAAGCGTCCCCAAGAAGCTCTGGGCTCTGGGCGTCAGTTCCCCTTTTCATGAAGTGAACACAAGTAATGAAACGTCACACCGAGGCTGTGTGACCGTGGGTACAACAGGCAACCTCTCCGTGCCTGTCTAGATTAGAGATGGTCTCCTCCCTCAGTCAAGATCATAGGATATGTCTCCGTCGGGGAAACTGAGGCACATTAACGCTGTTACAGACACGTGGAGGCTGGCAGTGTCCAGCGCTCTTGGCCTCAGCCCCGGAGGCCACCGTGGCCAGCAGAGGGCGCCGGAGGGAGGGGTCGGCTCCTCCACCCAGAGACCACACCGCGAACCAGGGGTTAGAAAACCGTCCAGTTTAATACAGCTACAGTCTCGAGGGCGCCCCGCCCAGTGTGGGGCACCCGGTCCTATGCACAGCCCCCCGGGGGACACGCGCCCCCCAGCCCGGCCGTTCCTCACACCCCACGGTGTCTGGACGCACCCGGGTTCCAGCATCTGGCTAGGACCGGTTTAGCAGTCTGTTCTGAATGTCCTCCAGAACCTCTCGGAACAGTTCCTCTCGGGACTTCGTGCCGTCTAAATAAACTGGAACCAACCGGAAAGGGCCTGGGTCAGGGCCTGGGTCAGGTAGGGGCGTGGGCTCCCAGGCCCGGGGAGCAGTGGGCGAGGCGGGGAGGGCGACCCCGACGGGCTGCAGGGATCCCAGCGGCCGGGGCGGGGGCCTGCGGCTTACCCACGTCCACCCCGTCCTGCTCCATCTCCCGTTTGTACTTCTGGTACATGGGCCACACGTGGCCGTCAAAGAGCCCGGGGGGGTCGGGGACCGTGTAGTGGCGGTTGCTGGGGCGAGAGACGGAAGCGCCGGCGTCAGCGCGGGCTGGTGCCCCGCGGCCCCGGCCGTCGGCGCGGGCTGGTGCTCCCTCCGCAGCCCCTGCCGTCGGCGCGGGCCCTGGGAGGGCGAGGCACAGCCCTGGGCCGAGGCCGGGGCTGCAGCACCCACCCCACCCCCGGCCTGCACGCCTTCCGGGAAGGGAGGGTGGGGGCGGTGTCCGGGCCTGGGGCTCTGGGCCCCTGGGGTCACTGCGGAGGCCCCGCCCGCGCCCCATGGACACCCCGTGGCCCTCACAACCCACCTCCTCCTCCGCTTGCATTCCTCGTACGGGACGGTCAGGAAGTAGCGGCGGCTGTACATGTCCACCAGGGGCCTGGCCGGGGAGGGGCTCGTCAGCGGACCTCCCTCCGCCCTCCCCTGCCTCCCGTGCGCAGCCTGGGAACCCCTCTCCAAGTTCCCCGGGCTCACCTGTAGCTGTACAGTAGGAAACCGTCGAGGAGGAGAATGTGGGTGTCCGAGGCGCCGGGCTGGAGGCTGACGCCGTGAGCGCGCGCGAACTTGCGTGGGTCCTTCACCCAGGCGCGCACGGTGCTGAGCATGGCCTCCATGTCCAGGGACTCGAGCACTGGCGGGCAGACGGCGGGGTTCAGATGGGGCCG